ACTGTAACAGCTAGTTCAGAATCCAGCATTCTGTATGTATAGTTAAAGTTATTTTTTCCCCATGTGCATTATCTTGCACTTGTTGACAGTGAAGTTTGCCAGCCATTTTTCCCCCATTTAGCTTGATAAGATCTTTCTGTAGTTCCTCTCTGTCATCTTGGGGCTTAACTACCTGGAATATCTGCAAACTTGGATATTTCACTGTGCTCCCTGATTTCCAGGTCATTGCTGAAACTGTTGAACAAAACCTGGTCCACCACAGATCCCTTCAGGACCCACTTTTGACATCTCTTCATCCTGAGTAGCAAGGATCTTGGTTTTCTTGGATAAAAAAATCCCCAATTTTCAGATAAAAAAACCCACCCCCAAATCCATTTTTCCATGATTAAAATGAAACACCACTAATATATATATAATTAGTGACATTTCATTTTAATCACGGAAAAATGTGGATTTTGGATTACTTTTTAAAATCAGAAAACCAGGATCCCATGGCCTAGTGACCATTTAGCCCTATCTTTGGCTTACCACCTTTTAACCAATTCTCAGTACACAAAAGAACCTTCCCTTCAATCCTGTGGCAGCTCCATTTTTAAAGGCCTTTAGTGAGGGACCTTGTTGACAGCTTTTTTGAAAGTCCAAATATATGATGTCAGATGGATCCCCCTTCTCGTCTGGCTTGTTAACATCCTCAAAGAACTCTAGGAGATTGGTAAGGCAGGATTTCCCTTTACAAAAAAACATGCTGACTCTTCCCAACAACTGCTGATTTTATTCTTTATTATAGATTCTACCAGGGATGGATGTGAGACTCACTGTCTCTAGTCTCCAGGATCACGTATGGAGCCCTTTTTCAAGATGGGTGTTACGTTGACAACCCACCCGTCTTCTGTGCACTCTCCCCACTACAAAGGCAGGCAAAAAAACCCTTTTGTGTGTATATTTTTTTATAATTGTTGCTACTTTCAAACCAACTCCCTTCCCCTTCTTCCAATCTTTTTTTTTTCTTCCTTCCTTTCCTCCTCTTTTTTTGGTTTGAACTTTCATAGCTCCCTTTCATTTGAAACCTGATCAGCTACAGGCTTTAGTGGCTGTTGGTGACTTTTTTTAGGTTGGATGGGCTAGGATAAACATGATAGCCAAAACCCATTCTCTAGATCAAAAGTCAGGAAGGTGGAACTCTGGATTCCACTCCAGTACAGACAACTCTGCCACCCTGTTCCTTACCATCCTAATGGCATAGCTCATGCACAATAAAGGGTATTTTACACCTTGTAATTTAGCTATAGAAAATTGGTAGATGCCAAGTGCCTTCAAAATTCAGAGAACCAGAATCCATACAGTCTAAGACTGAAATCTTGGCCTCATTAGACTGAGTTAAAAGGAAAATCTCTCTCTTGACTTCATGGAAACCAGGATGTAACAGTTCACTCTCCAAAGGACACTTTCCTAACAGACTGCTAAAAACTATTTAGAGCAAAAGACAGAAAATCAGAGGGGTTACCTTTATAATAGAGGTTAAAACTCTAGAAGAGACTAATGATGAGTGTATCAGAAACAAAATGGCTATTTTAGATGGTCTGCCCCACAGCAGTTTGTTCTATCAGTTTTATCATGTAAATCAAGGAGCAGTGGAATAGTTTGCTATTGTACATGCAACCTCTGTGACATCACAAGTACCATAGATTACAGCAGGATTTCTGGTGTCTGTTGCTCCACTAAGGTGCTGGGATATCTTTGGTGAAGCAAGAAGTGTTGCTGAATTTTAGAGTTTACCCACAAAGTTTCAAAATAAGGTATGTTAAAATTTTGACACTTAATGGCTACCAGAGTCTAATTGCTGTGGATATTCAGTAGGAACGTATGGATTAATTTACTTTTTAGTTCAGCTGTTGCAATTCACCTACAAAATTTAGTGCTATAGTCAACCTCAGGCACTTAATCATGAGTCATGCCTCCCAAAAATTATAAGATTATTTGTCAGTCAATGATTTAAAAAAGAAAATCACAACAACAATATAATGAGTTCTCTTTTGCCTTCTATTTTCCTTAAGATGCACTGGGTACACTTTTCAATATTTTTGCCATAACCGCAAGGGGTAGAAACTTAAAAGCTGAGATTCTCAAAATTACTTGATTCTAGGGGAGAAATCTGTGGGGGGAAAAACCCATGAGAAGTGATGATACTAACAACAGAATCATAAAAGCTTGCAGCACTGAAAAAGGGTCCCTCATAAAAAGGATGCTAGCTAATGTCCCTTGTTCATTAGCATAGAAATCACCACCTAGTTAAATGTTGATTTTTGCTATGTAAATAGCTTAGCCTACACTGGCTGTTTTCCTCCTAGTTTAAACAATGCTCTCCAGTCAGTAAGAAAAACAATCACATACAAATTCCTGATGCAATTTTTTTTAAATCTCTTCCAAATTCTCAAAGGATAAGACCAATGAGAATAAAACAATAGCATCATTATATTAAAACCCAAGCTTCAACAACAGCATCAGTTGCCAAGAAGTCAAGGAGTAAGTGGACTTCCATCTCCTATGTCAGTGCAGATGACAAACTGGCAGCACAGGAGTAAAAGTCTTGGCTTCAGTTGAACCAGCCCTTTCTGCAGACATTAAAAAAAATCATATCTATGTCTCTGAATGCTTGCTCCATTGATAGCACAATAAAATAAACACATTATTGTTTGTCTCTAGGGCTTAATGAGAGTAAAAGTTTTGTCTCGAATAATTTTTTTGCACATACTGAAAATAGTTAAATATTTTTTAAACAAATCACCCCTGTAAAGAGTGGCTAAATGTTCACCAGGGCACCTCTTGGGGTAACAAGGAACAATAGTCACAAACTGACAGAGAGCAGATTTAAGCTAGATATCAGGAAAAACTTCTTCACGGTGAGGGTGGCCAAAATTGGGAATGGGCTTCCAAGGGAGGTAGTGCTCTACTCTGCCTTGGGGGTCTTTGAGAGAAGGCTGGATAGGCATCTGGGTGGGGTCATCTGACCCCAGCACTCTTTCTTACCTATGCAGGGGGTCGGACTCAATGATGGGGGTTGGACTCAATGATCTGTTGAGGTCCCTTCTGACCCTAGCATCTATGAATCTACAAAATAAAAAATAATTAATTACAGATGTAAATATATTGATTTCACTTAGAACCACAACTGAACGACAAATTACACTGAAAATTCAGACAGTTATTTATGCCTCTAGGCCAACCCAAGTGTTATTTCATTTCAGCACATAGCCAGCTCTTTCCCATTAAACACCATCTGTAGGAAAACTAAAAGCACATGCCATTGCAATGACATGCCTATTTAGATATGCAATTGCTCATTTTACATGTGCAATACTGAAATCTTCTTTGGTACATGTTCTATGCCTTGCTGAACCAGAACTAGGAAAGGGAATGGACCACACTGCATCACTCCTCCCACCTACAGCATTCCGATGCATAAAACAATTAGAAAGGAATCTCCATCGATTTGCCAAGTAAAAAAGGCCAATATTTGTATGGAAACACATTTTATTTTCAAGGGTCTAATTCTATTAAACAACAAAGACTTAATAGTTATACTACAGAAAGCGCTACCACTGTCCCTCAACTAGAACAGTCATCAATTTTGTAAATGAATGATTACATGTGCCAGGTGCTTAGACAATGGTTGAACTATTCTAAATATTGTAACAATATCAATGACAGTATGGCAGCTGAAATGGAAATATTCATCATAGCCCTAGAGGTGGCAGTTTCACAATCAGGAAAACTTGGGAAGTCTATATAACAGACGCTAATATTATCTTGAGAAAAGATGAATAGGCAATTATGATGGAAGCATTTAATCGTAAACACCAGAAATGCACAGAAAAATGTAAAGGGGCATTGCTGAACAAACTCTTGAGTAGCTGAGCTGGACTTCTGATCGAGGCGGTATCATCAAGTAGCATAAATATAAATTAAGCCGTTAGTGGATATTTTTGGCAATCTGGCATTTAAGAAGGTCATCATATTCATTCTTGCATTTATTATGCATCAGGGCTTCTCCTCATTGTTGACGCTATGGTTGTTCTGGTGCAGAAAATGTAAAGCCATTATGAGGTCTGATCAATGACTAGAAAGCCACTGGAAGGTTAGGAAGCACTTCTGGTCCTTCCCAACTATGGAACCAAATATCTTGGATGCCTGGTTTTGTTTGAGCTATTTGGTAGCTCCAATTAGGCTTCGCTTGGTAGCCGACAGACCTTCAACGGTAAGCTGTAAGATTCGGTAGCAAGCCTAACGCCATGCAAGCCACAGGACTGCGCGATGTCGGTGGCAGTGCCACCAGGATTTCTCTCACAGTTTGCCGAATGCAGTTTCGCAGGAGGCCCGCTGGTTTTCCTGGTGCGGACCAGGGACTGACGGCCGGCCTGACGTGAGCGCTGAGCCATCGCCCCCTGTGGCTCGGCAACGGTGCACACGCCGCCTGACCGGCTGGTAGCTCTGACTGCCGAGACTCATGTCACTGCCGGCGGCACAAGGGGTCCCCCGGGCCGGGATGAGCAGCGACTCCCCAGCTGCTGACCGTCAGGCCCTTCACAGTCGCCCGGGCAAGGGGCCTGGCCCGGCCCAGAGCTGCCCACCAGCGCGAGGGACAGCAGGGCTTGCCCCCTGCTGGGCCAGCGCTTGCTGTCTCCCACTTCCCCGCGGGAAGGATTGAAGAGGTGGCTCCAGCCTGCGGCCCCTCACGGGAGCGGGGGGCGGGGCCTCGCTGCCCGGCGGAAGGATCCCTCCCCCGCCGGCGCCCAGCGGCACCAGCCC